GTGCACCAGTGGGGTCCCTCAGCCTGGCCTGTGCCCTCTCACAATCCGGGACCCCTCAGGGGGGGATGTCAAGCCAGTTTTGGCCTGATCCCGCAGGCCAGGCTGAGGGACCCCCCCACTAGTGCATGAATTCGTGCACCGGGCCTCTAGTATGTCAAATATAACTGGCTTTTTTTAAATCAGAGGAAGAAAACAGTAGAGAGTGATTAAGAAACACTGACATCTAATCCTCAAACATTTAAAACAATTCTCTATTTACTTTTTTCAAATGTTAAAAAAAGACTAAATAATACTATAAAAAATTAACAGTTTTAAGTATTCCTAAATTTGAAAGTTGCTATAAATTTTCTTTTAACAAGCAAGGAAGTTAAACTAGTCAAAACTCTTATATTCCCTACATTGTACTCTTCATTTCATTCACTTCACATTTCAAATGTAAGCATTCTGCACAAATGCCATATGCTTTCTGGAGCAAATAAACTACTTTGAATTGTGAGAACCTACAACAATATTTATTTGAAATTTTTACCTATAGTAATACTTCCAAAGTTTTAAAAAAATTAACTATTTTGTGTTTTAAAAAGCATACAAAATGGGAAGCGAACCATTTAAATCCAATTCCTAAGGCCTCTTATTTATTCCTTGCCACAGAGCTCTGCTTGTTACCATGTACTAATAAAATTCATTGACTATTCAAGAATTCCAAAAGCAAATCCAAAAACCAATCTTGACTGAAAAGAATCACTTTTCCTACTGTTTGCAAGCTAAAACAAGTACTACTGTATCAAACAGATTACAGGACCTCAGATTCATGGCACGTATGAAATTACTTTAAAAGACTACAGAAAATCTCACTAGAAAATATTATCAGTTCTAGTGATATAGTAGTTGTAAGCCACACAATTTACTATAAAAATAAAACTGAAGTCTTAGTTAAATGCAACCTAAATTATAAAACACTGAAATTGTATTTAGTTTAATAAGACCTTAGAAAAACTCAAAAGATTATACTGTACACTCATATTTGGTGCCCAATTCTTCAGTTGTTATAAGTGAAAATATCAAATATGTGTATTACAATATGTCTTTAAATAATTTTAAAAGAACAAGAGAGGGATATTCAAAGTCAGTTGTAAAAAGTATTTAGGGTATTAGTCAAAGACAGAAACATTTTTCCCAGTTAAGCTTATCACAGTTACTTGCTACAGAGAGCTAAAACAAATACTTTTTCTTTTAAGGAACTAGAAAAAAAAATTTTACTAAGGCAAGAGGACGCAAGCAATATAAAAATCAAAAATATATTTGGCATTAATTGGCTTTTTTTCCCCTCTTGTCAAATGGGGGTGGGATTTGACTTGCACATTTTCTAAGGGTCCAATCTGCTCATGAAACCCTTACACAAGGGGAAGGTGTGCGGGAGAGATTCCTTACGCAACCCATTGGGAGAACTCCTATAAGGGCAGAAGTAACTGCTCTGTGCTGCCTACTTCCTTCCCTTTTGCTTCACGTGTACTACAACCTAGTCATTGCACTCAATGGTGAAGAACACTTGACTTGGGGTGGTGAACACACAATACAAAATACTGATGATTTATTTATGTATTAGAGGATTGTGCACCTGAAACCTATATAATTTTATTAGCCAATGTCAGACCAATAAATGCACTAAGAAACTTCAAAAAAAAAAAAAAGAACCTTTACAACTTAAAAAAAAAATCTAATTTAAAAACAGGCAACAGGCTTGAACAGATATTTCTGTCAAGATGTACAAATAGCCCCCAAAAAAGCACATGAAAAGATGCTCAACATTATTAGCTATTAAGAAATACAAATTAAAACCACAAAGAGATATCAATTCATACTCAGAAGAATGAATACAATAAAAAGATAAGCAATAAGTGTTGGCAAGGATATGAAAAAATTCGTATCTTCATACATTGCAAGTGGAAATATAAAACAGTGTAGCTGCTATGGAAAAGTTTTGCAGTTCCTCAATAAGTGAAACATAGAATTACCATATGATCCAGGAATACCACTCCCAGATCTATACAGGCATACCTCATCTTATTGTGTATCTCTTTATTGTGCTTCACAGATGTTGCATTTTTTATAAATTAAAGGCAAGACCCTCCACCAGCAAAAAGATTATGACTTGCTTTATGTGATACTTACTTTATTGCGGTGGTCTGGAACCAAACCCGCAATATATCTCCCAGGTATGCCCGTACCCAAGAAAAAGGAAATGTATTCACATGGAAACTTGTTCACAAATATTCATAGCAACATTATTCATAATAGGCAAAATGTGGAAACCCAAATGTCTATAAACTGCTGAATGGATAAACAAAATGTGAATATCTCTACAGAAATTGAAATTATAGTTAAAAAGTTACTAACAAATAAAAATTCAGGCCCAGGGAACTTCACTGGTGAATTGTAACTATACTAAGTATTATACATTTACCAATCTACTGAAACTTTTCCAGAATAGTGAAGAGGAATACTTCTCAACCATTCCAGCATTACTCTGATACCAATACCTGACAAAGACATTACAAGAAAACAAAACAGGGATTAAAAATGGCAGAAGATTAAGTGGGTGCTGCACGGACATGCTCACAGGAACAAACTGGAATTACAACTAAAATACAGAAAAAGTTCCTGAATAATCAACGAAAAACTCGCAGGAGAGAACCCTGATACCAGAGGACTGAAAGTGGAGACTGCATAGAGATTGGTAGGAGAGGCGGAAGCACAAAAGGGCTGGGCGGGTGCCCATAGACAGCAACTGAAGACCGAGAGAGATATCTCAGCTGTGGTGGGTTTCCACTGAGAACTCTGGGATCTAACCCCAAAGCTGGGCTCCCCAGCAGAGAACACCAAACTGAGGAGGGTACCCACATAACATCTAGCTATTAAAAGCAGCGGGGTTCTGTCTGCCAGGGAGTAACAGCCGAAAATTCAGGCATCCTATTAAATAGCCAACACACAAAATTAACTGTGGAGCCACCCACCTTGTGCTCCCGCAGAGGGAGGGTGAAGTAGACTGGAGCTGTGAGAGCAGAAGCCAGGACAGGGGACACCGGGGATAAAGCTCAGAAAGCAGACACCCCAAGTATCCTGAGCTCAGTCATTCCCTCTCGCAACAGAGGACATCTTTCCCACATAGACATTTGCCTTGCCTGGGGGGAAGACAGTTGACACACCCTACTGGAAAACACCTTGCCCTGAGGCCACTTAAAATAACAATTAGCCTCCAGACAGAAGCAACTGCCCTACTCTTAGAAAAAACTCTTACCAGGCCTGAGGACGATTGCCTGGGGGGCAATTCAAGTCGGAATCCTATCAGTCTGTAGGCAGAGACAGTCTCTGGAGGCTTTTGAGTCTTTGACTGCTCTAATTAGTCAGAAACAGCCTTAAACACTGTCCTGCACTAGAGATTGAGAGGTGTAGAGGATCTAGTAATATATAGCCACAAACCCAAAAAGCCAAAATGAGGAGACAAAAAAAAAACCCCAAATGAAACTAGAGAATCTCCAATAGAAGAGATAAATGAAGCAGAGATAAGAAATTTATCTGAAACAGAGGTCAGAGTAATGATGGTAAATATGCTCAACAGCATGAAAAAAGACATAGTAACTATGAAAAAAGGAACAGTCTGAGATAAAGAATGACATAACACACATAAAGAAAACATTGGAAAGAACACACAGCAGATTAGGGGAAGCTGAGGATCAAATCAGTGAATTAGAAGACA